TTCTTAATGACTCAATGATATTTTCAAAAGCTGTAAGTTTAAGCCAGGTGTACTGCTACACTGCTTCAAATCACTCTAAGTAGACTATTCTCACACTGCACTGTATTGATAAGAGCTGTTTTGTAGTATGATCCTGAAGTCAGTGCAAATTCTCCATTTTTTTTCAAAAACACTTTTGGATTTTCTGTTTGCTTTTATTTTACATATAGATTTTATAACCAGCTTGTTAATTGCCTGCTAGAATTTTGATTGGGATTGTCTTGAATCCTTAGGACAATATGAAGATAATCAATGCCTTAATAATATTAAGTCTTATCTGTGAGCATTGTAGATCTTTTCATTGGTTTATGTCTTTAAATTCCAACTTAGCAATATTCTATAGTTTTCAGTGTGAAATCTTGCTATTTTATTAGATTTCCCCACTAAGTGTTTTATTTTATTTTTAAAGTACTGGAGATTTAACCTGGGGTCTTGCCCATACTAGGAAAGTGCTCTACCCATAACCCTTTTTATTTTATTTTGAGATAGTGACTCAATAAGTTGCCAAGGCTGTCCTTAAACTTGCAATCCTCCTGCCTCAGGCTCCCTAGTTCTTGAGATTACAGGCATTTGCCACAGCATTATTTTATGTTTTTAATGCTGTTGTGAATGATATTTAATTTTTTAAAAAATTTCAGTTATTCACTGCTTGTATATAAAAGATGATTGATTTCTTTAAATTGACATTGTATTCTGCAGCCTTTTAAATTCATCTACTAGGTCTGACAGCATTTTCATAGATTCTTTGGGAATTTTTTAAATGAGATAACCATATCATCTAGGGGAAATTTTATTTATTCCTTTCTAATGTGAATGAATTTTATTTCTTTTACTTGCCTCACTTTCTTGATTGGAATTTCCAATACAATGTTGCTTTGTTAAACTAGATGCAGGACCTTTTTAGTTGTGCTTATTAAATAGAAGAAGTTCTCTTCTATTTTTACTCTGTAACAAGCTATTTTTTATCATAACTACTTGTTGATTTTATTAAATGCTTTTCTTGCATCATTTGATACGATCACTGTTTTCCATAGGTTATAAACATGGTAAGTTGTGTTGATTAATTTTAAATTGTTTAATCAACTTTGGATTTCTGGAACGTACTCTACTTGGTTGTGGTTTATTATTCCTTTTACATATTGCCAGATATGATTTACCGATATTTTGATGAGGAATGTGTCTCTGTGTTCCCAGAAATATGTTTGTTGTTGTTGGTTTTATTTTGTATTGTTTTATGTCTAGTTTTGTATTGTTTTATGTCTAGTTGGTTTTATTTTGTATTGTTTTATGTCTTAAGAGTTTGGAAGTATTCTCTTTTATTTTCTGGAAGAATTGTATATAAATGATGTTATTTCTTCTTTGAATATTTGGTGGAATTTGGCCTAGAAACTACATGGAAGTAGAGATTTATATTGATTATGAGATAGAAATGGGAGTTTCAAAATATAATTGTGAATTTATCTTTTTATTAATTTAGTTTTCTTACTATTTCTCTAGGCAAATGTTTCATGTATTTTGATACTTTGCTCTTAGGTGCATTCATATTTAGGTTTGTTATGTCTTTGTGAATCTATTCTTTTATTGTTATATAATATACCCCTTTAGGCCTGATAATTTTCTTTGTTCTAAAGATTACTTTTTCTGATAACTATATAGCTACTCCAATTTTCTTTTGATTTATATTTGCCTCTACCTAGGGTAATGATGTAATCTCATTTCACCATCTTTCCTGCCTTCATGTCCCCTCCTTCCCACCCCTGTCCCCTGCCCCATCAAAGTTACTCCATTTTTTTCCATGCACTCCCCCATTATGAATCAGAATCCACTTATCAGAGAGAACATTCAGACTTTGTTTTTGGGGGATTGACTTACTTTGCTTACCATGATATTCTCCAACTCCATCCATTTACCTGCAAATGCCACAATTTCATTCTCTTTTAATACTGAGTAATATTCCATTGTTTATATATACTACAGTTTCTTTATCTGTTTATCTCTTGAAGGGCATCTAGGTTTGTTCCACAGTTTGGCTATTGTGAATTGTGCTGCTATGAACATTGATGTGGCTGTGTTCCTGTAGTATGTTGTTTTTAAGTCCTTTGGTATAGACTGAGGAGTGGGATAGCACTGTCAAATGATAGTCCCATTCTAAGTTTTCTGAGGAATCTCCATACTGCTTTCCAGATTGGTTGCATCAATTTGCAGTGCCACCAGCAACTTAGGAGTGTGCCTTTCCCCCCACATCTTCGTCAACATTTATTATTGCTTGTATTCTTGATAACTACCATTCTGACTGGAGTGAGATAAAATCTTAGAGTAGTTTTGATTTGCATTTCTCTAATTGCTTAGAGCTGTTGAACATTTTTCATATATTTGTTCATTGATTGTATATCTTCTTCTGAGAAGTGTCTGTAAAGTTCCTTAGCCCATTTATTGATTTGGTTATTTGTTTTTTTAGTGTTAAGTTTTTTGAGTTCTTTATATATCCTGGAGATTAGTGCTCTATCTGATGTGCATGTGGTAAAAAGCTGCTCCCATTCTGTAGGCTCTCTATTCACTTCATTGATTGTTTCTTTAAGCAAAAAATTTTAACATTGTCTAAAATGAATATTAGTGTATATTGTTATAATAAGAAGACAACCACAGCATAAAGAGATGAGGATACACTATATAGTGGTAATGTTTCTATGTTCCAGTTGAAGTGGTAACATATGGACTCTATGTAGAAGGTGAAAAGTTAAGTCAGCATATTGTATTCCCTAGGATACCAATTTTAAAAGCTGCAAAAGAAGATATAGTAAAAAGACATACAGATACTGGGCTGGGGTTGTAGTTCAACAACTTGTACTAGCATGGGTGAGGCTCTGGGTTTGAGTCTCAGCACCACATAAAAATAAATTAAATAAAGGTTAAATTTAAAGAAAAAAGACATCCAGAAAATACAGACATCATGAAAATTTTGGCATTTAGTGGGTAGAGATCAGGAATACTACCAATCATTCTAAAAGGCACAAAGCAGACCAAACCCAAAATGTTGGTAACTCTAAGGTTGAGAATCCCTGCCCTAAATAATACTTTTATTGTAGTTTTTCAAACTTTATCCTTTGGTTTTATTGAAACAACTTTCTGCCCCCATCTGTACTCCTATATTAATAATTTCCATGATTTCTAATTAGGTCAAATAGAAGTAAAGTAGCAGGTTCAGCTGGAATAATTTGGGGTACCAAATATAGTTCTTCTGGAGGGAGCACAAGTGTATGTGTGGTTCTGGATACAAGCCATCAGCTTTTAGCATGTCTTAAGTAAGAGTCAGAGAAACTGGAGAATATCCCTAATTTTATGATTTGGTTGAGTACAACTATGTTAGGGAAATTCTGCATGTAATTATGTGTATATACATATATTTATATTCTTTCATTTTCTCTTCCAATATCATTTTAAGTAATGACATTACCTAAAATCTATGTAACTCTTACAGGTATTTATTACACTGTCATATTTTGAATGTATTTCCATAGAAAGGTTTTTAATTCTTTGAGGAATATTCTTTGAATTAATTAATACAATGAAATTAACTTTATTTGGTGTAGTTTTAAATATTTAGGTAGTTTTATAAAAACAAATTTCATCACATATAAGTATTGGAATATTTCTCAAAGTTTACAAAATTACAATTAAGTGGATTTTTTCATAAACAGAGTATTAACAATTAAATTGGAAAAAACTTTCAAATTCGGATTTGTTTTCTCTAAAAACTTTCAAGATCAGAGCTTAAAATGCCCCTCTTCCACTATAATACTGTATTTATGTGTCTACATACATACATGTATATACACATATACATATAGAATGTATACTAAGCATATTATAAACATTCATCATTATATCCTGCCCTATAGGAACCTCAGATTACCCAGTTAGCATTTTAGTAGCAAGCTGTGTCAGATCCAGTTGGAGAACTCAAAATTTACTTGTTTGGATGGAAGGTTAAGAAACACAATTGGCCCTTGCTCTGATCAATATTCTAATCCTTCTGGAACCGTTAACTTTTCCGAAATGGAAATTGAATGCTTTTCCTAAAAATGTACCTCAAAGTTTGAGGGCTTTGTTGAAAAGCATTATGTGCCTTTGACCCTGAATGTACTTTTTGCCTGCTGAGAAATAGAGCACAATGACCTTACTTTTATGGTCCTGAATATGTATGGTGAAGATTGAGTAGCCTGTATGAGTGTAGTCAACCATGGGGTGTCTCTTCTTTCTCACTGGGACTCATTCTTTCTTCCTTCCCTCCTTCCTTCCCTTCCTCCCTCCCTCCTTCCCTTCTTTCTTTCCTTCCTTCCTTCCTTCCTACCGTCTTGACTTCTGCTACTGTGTGGCTGTAGTGGAGAACCCGAGCCTAGGTCCTCCACGTTGGCTTTGGCAGGGGGCGCGCGAGGTCCCGGAGCTGTCCAGCAGCTCCTAAGTTATTTACGCAGTCTGCAAGCCAGGGAAGCTCTCCAGCGCCCCGCCCCGGGCTGGGAAAATCTCCCATAGGGCTCCCAGGATGTCCCAGGCTCGCCACCCATCTACAGCAATTTCTCTTCTTCCTCCGAGTCCCGTGAGCTTTGGTGGCCTTCTCCTTGCGCCCGGTGCTGCTCCCGAGCCCTGTGCACGAGTGTACTTGGTCTTCACCCCTTTGCCTTAAGAGTGGCGTCTCGTTCTACCTTCCCCTCCAGCAGCTGGGTGGTCTTTTCTGTCTCTCGGTCTGTCTTTGGAGACACGCGCCCGAAACCGAGGGGTAAGAGCAAAGACCACCCATCAACTTAGCACCTTGAATTTAAATCTTTCAATCCGGAAAGGAGATTGGCATTGCCGGTCAGTAAGAGAAGGAGGGAGGAGGGCGGAGGCTGCAGTGGCTCGGGGGCTCGCCAGACCCAGCCAGGAACCCGGGAGCCCGTGCAGGAGAGGGACAGTGAGCGCCAGCCTCGCCCTGGCAGCCCCTCCTTCCAATTCCTCTCTCCGCCTCCGGGCCCGCCCCTCCCTCCAGGAGGAGCCGTCTCTCCTCCGCGCGTCTCCCGACGCTCTCTCCATTGTCTCTGCCTTTACAACAGGTTCGGGCGGCGGGGAAGAGGGCGGGTGCGGGGCTGCCCCAGCCCAGGCTTTCTGGGGGCCGCCTTCCTTCCTCAGGCTGTGCGCATCTTGGGCTGCATTTATTCGGCTCGGGAGCTAATTCCCCAGCATAGCAGGTCCCGGGCGAGCCCGACCCCTCCCTCCCAATCTCCTCTCATCCCGCTCCGCCGCCTGGGCTCTCCGTGTGGGAATGATGAGCGCATTGGAGGCTCTAAGTTCTTCACGCGTCTCCGGGGGCCTCCCTTTTCTTTCTTAGGCAACCAAATCGTGTTAATCCTACTAATCAGTAAACCCGAGGCAGCTGGAGGAGAGGCACACGCTATTTTCTCGCTCGATTCCAAGAACCTCTTCGATTTTTATTTTTATTTTTAAAGAGGGAGACGATGGACTGAGCAGATCCACACCATGGAGTCTCGGGTCTTACTGAGAACCTTCTGTTTGATCTTCGGTCTCGGGGCAGGTGAGTGGTCCTAAAGCCAGGGCGGGGGAAAAGGGATGGCTCCCGCCTGGGGGCTGGCGGGGAACGCCTCGCTTTTCCTGGACCCGAAGTAGGTCTGGAGTAGGGGGCGGGTTTGGATTTAGAAATTTTTTTTGTGTGTGTGCTTGCCTTGGAGACAGTGAGGCGGGTCACACCGCTGATCAGGTTTGAGGGCTGAGGGGGAACTTCCTACAGAGAGGGGCTTAAAGTAGGTCATGGAAATAGGACTGGGTGCCCCGCTATTTAAAGCTTGGCTGCTGATCTCAGGTAAGGCTCTCCGCGGTGGAGGAGGGAGTCGCCTCTCGTCATCACTTCTCAATATTGTCGCGAAGACGCGGTTCTTTGCTGCCTTGGAGTAAGAGGATTGCGTTTTAATGGAGCTTTTTCTTTCTTTTCTCCTCCTCCCCACTCCACCAGTGTGGGGACTTGGGATAGACCCCTCCCTGCAGATCGACGTCTTAACAGAGTTAGAACTTGGAGAGTCCACTGCCGGAGTGCGCCAGGTCCCGGGGCTGCATAATGGGACGAAAGCCTTTCTCTTTCAAGGTATGATCCAGTGCAGTAAGTCCTCAGTGCGGTTTTAGTTGCCATAGCCTTGGGAAGAGTTGGCCCGGCCTCTCCTCCTAACTTTGCCTTGCTTCATGGATGACAGAATCTGAGCTGAGGGTTGACTGTAAGACACGTTGTCGGATCTCTTTTTAAGTGTCTTGGTTTTTCCCCAGTCCCTCACCTTACTCCTCATTTTGTACTCTTGCCAGTCTAATGAAGAGTCCCTTAATTACCAGAAACCCCGATGGCAGATGGTTGATTTTGTAGTCTGGGGAACAATAAATTGTAACACAAACGCCTCATTTGGGTGAAATTGATTTAGGTAGGAAACAAGATAGCTTAATCTTAGTTAAGACATTGATCTCTGAAAGTTTCAGGTGCAGTGGTGCCTTACTGGGAGACCTTTCTTTGTGGGGGTAGTGTTTCTGGAAAAATGTATACCTTTTAGTATTTTTTAATCTACTGTATATCACAAGTACACTATATGTAAGGCAGAATTCATCACGGAAAGATCATCGTTCTTCCTTCTCCACCAAATGACAAGAGGAATATTTTGAATCTTTGAATATTTTAAAATATTTTGAAAATATTTTAAGTAAAAAATCTTAATGTCTTCTATATCCATTTATTATACTCTTATGGTTTTAAAACTTTTTTTGAGTCAGTGGACAGGGATATGCGCAAATGACTACTTTTCAAATTATATTTAAATGTGTTGTACAGTCACAAGAAATTTCAGTGCAATAAACTTTAATTTTGATTTAGTAAAGCTTTTGAAAATTACTTGGTTTGTGGAAAGATATTGTAATATGAGCTTCTGAAAGGTAGCTAAACACAGAAACACTAGATTTAGATATGGTGAAAGATAGATGAAGGGAAAAAAGAAATGGAGTATGGTTCAACATATCTGATGGAATAAGGTGTCTTTCCCCAAGCCAGCTAGATTTTTCTTTGGCTATATTGGGGCCATGTCTTCCTAAGAAGTGCAACTCATAATTAATAAAGGGTTGAATGTGCAAAATACATCCACTCCAGCAGATCTGCCACCAAGAAATTGGAATCACATAAACTTGAGTGTTTCTCTAGTGGTGTCATTGCCTGTTATAGCCAGTATGTGTCACCATGGACAGTAACACCAAAGCTCACAGTTGGGAAAGGAGGAAATTGACATGTGTTGCATTTATTTAAAACAAGTTTGCTTTTACCAGAAACTAAAATGAAATTTTCTTTTCTAAAAACTGTCCTTTTAATTTTATCGTTAATTTGGTGTTTTTATTTTGACAGATATTTAAGATAGTATCTTATTTACTTAAAGACCTTGTTTTGGAGGGTGGGGCTTAAATACTATATCTTTTAAAAACAATGTCCCAATATAATGAAGGAAATAAAGGCTCAGCTGTCAGCAAAATTCAGAGTTTAATAAGCATGTTATCGGGCTAAGCCTTTGCCTTTGTTTTTTTGTTGTGTATTACTTTATCTCTGATTTTCAGTTTCTGTGAAATGGAAAACAAGTTATTTCATTACTGCTAATTCAAGTAACTTGAAAACTTTAAAGAATCTAAAGCTTCTAATAAAAAATGGTATTGAAGTGCTCTTCATATTTCCAAAGATCCTTTAAATTCTATTGGTGTTCTTCCTGGCTTTATATGAAGAATGCCTGAACTGTCACAAATAGGAACCCTCAGGAATGTACATTTTATGTGAGACAATTGGAAAACTAGATATCAGACAGTTTCTTGAAAATAGTCTTAAGGAACCAATATTTTTTTCCTGGTTAATTTTTTTAAAAAAATGTTTAGCATTTATTTTTATTTAATTTTCAGCTTCTTTAAGATAGACATTATGTTCCAAATACTAAGACACATGAAATATGTTTTCTTTGAATCATTTTCAGTAACTAGATATTAAAGTACATTGATTATTTGGTTGTTTTGTTTCATGATTGATACCAAGCCCAATATTGAGACAGAGTAAATGCTTACATACTTTTGAAGATGTGATTTCATTTCCTGCCAAATTATGAACTTTATTTCATGTAGCCAATTATTCAGTAAGTATTTACTGCCTGCTGTGTTCTCAGTAGGCATGTATTACTGATGTATTGATTATGCTCTAGTGATTTCTCTTTTTATAACATTTGGATTCCAAAATTGAAAACAAGTGGACCTTTGACACTGAGTGGTAGTTCTGCATTACTTTGTAAAGGTATTTTCTCTGCTTTTAGGATATGGAAGGTTTTGTTAAGAAGTCAGTTCTGAGTCTTGCTGCTTCATTGTATCTCATGGGCTTAGAGAAACAAAAGCATTGGAACTCTGGAGATTTTATAGACCCATTTATAGTGAATCGAGGGTACTGCAGATATTTTATATGATGTGTAAAATGTCACAGCAGGAATAGTAACAAATTACAAAAATCTGCGAGATGCTCTCAGATTTCTTATGAACCTATCATATAGGTTTCTTTGTGCTATCAGATGTGTTCTAAATAGATAGAAGAGATTTTGAACTGTCAGATTTCTATTGCAATAACAAAACTCTTTTTTCTCTCTCTTAGCTTTAAAATAAAGAAACTTCTCTTTCTCTCTCTCTCTCTATGTATATATATATTTTACATATATATATATATCTGCCCAGATTTTTACTTATTTAATATTAATTCTTCCTTTTGCCTACTTCATTTTTCTCTTTAGTGATTTTTGAGATGCATACAATTCACTACTTTTTGAAACTATGAATAATCTTTGTAAATTAGTATGAAATATGAATATATTATTAATATATTATTATATGTTTATAGTCACAACAAATGGAAATATATTTCAAAGTCATATTTTTTATTGTAATAGCAACCATAGTATCACTAAAATGGTTTCATTGTTGCTAAAATTTATTTTATAGCTGCTTTAGAAATTTAAGTTTTAAGATGTTAAATTAGATCATCACTTAATAAATGTGGCTTTCAATCTGTCCCTATTACATTAGTTTTCTTAAGAAAAAAAGTGTCCAGGCAATATATATGGCCTTACATTAGGATATTCTAGTGTTTTCTAGCTGTATTCTTACTCATAGCTACAAATATACACTTATTATTATTTAAAGAAATGGAGGAGTGAATTTTGACAGTGAGAAAGACCTATAAATAGTAGCAAAGAGTCCTAAAATCTTAAGGACTAGTGCAGTTACTTTGTTTTAAAGTCTAGGAAATGTTTTCCAAGATAACAATCACAATAATGTTTTTTTCTCTGTGTATATAAAAGATCAGGAATGAGAGTGCACAGAAGCAAAGTTTTAGGACTTTCTTGCAAAGTAAGCATGAATTTTAGATCTTTGATTTTTTAACAATTTATCTGTCCAGGTTCCCAAAATATATAGTTTCATCTGTTGGCTTAAGAAAATTTCTTCTAAAGTGTTCATATATTTTATAATCTTACTAATCCCCACAGAAGTAGATAAAATAAAAGTGTATTTTTTCCCGAGTTGATAATTTAAAAATAAATTTAGTAATTATTTTTAAAGAACATTAAAATATAAAAAGAAAAAAATGTTCACAAATCTACTCTCATGCCAGTTTGAAAATGGAATGAAATAAGGACATTGATTTAGTAGGCCAAGGTAACTGAATTAAGTAAAGCAAGGTGTCAATAAGTACTTGTATGATAGTTAATGAGCATATCTAAACTTAGGGATGATGGTCATTGATGCCCCAGTAGAGTAAAATAACACAGTGATTAAGAGTTGTACTTAGAAACCAAAGAAACTAGTTATGTTACTATGGTGAATGCCCTTTATTTCGGTAAGCATCAGTATCCTTGATTATAAAATGAATAATGTTATGAATATTAAGCAAGTTATATTCATTCATCCAAATGAATTATTCCTATGCGTTATTAGGTATATGATAAAGAAGTAGAACTTACCTATATCTTCATAGTGCCTTAAAAACAGCTATTAAGTAACTACACAGATAACTTAATCACCATTAAGATAAATTATATGAAAAACTGTGGTTGTAATGGGAACTGTATTCTAGTTTGGGGAATCAAAGGGTCAGGGAAATTGTCTGAGGAAGAGTCATTTATGCTGATAACTGAGGGATACATAAGGGGAGTCTGTAAAGAAAGACTGAGGGAATTCAGGGAGGAAGAATAACACAGGCAAGGGGAATGGTATGAGCAAAGATCCTGAGAATAGAATGAGCATGGTGCATTTGAGAAAATAGAAGAAGTCTAGAGGAATGGAGACACATATGAAATGAAGCTAATGAGTATAGCAGGGACCATGTTACATGGTAGATCACATTAATAGAGCAGAATTGAAAAGCTTTCATTATATAGATGTGTATTGTGGTAGGTAGAATAATAGTCCCTCGAAGATGTTCTTGTTCTAGTTCTTGGAACCTGAGAATTTTATGTATATTATATGACAAGGTTGCTGATTTGCTGATCAGAAGATAAAGAAGCTGCAAAGGACTATCTGCATGGGCCCTCTGTAATCACAAGTCCTTTAAATATGTAAGAGACAGGTAGAAGGGTCAGTATCAGAGTTCTTTGATCAGAGTCAGTATTCGAGTTTTGTGATGTGAAAAAGACTAGACCAGCCATTGCTGGCTTTCAAGATGGAAGAGGGCCTAGAATCAAGGATTGTTAAGAAGTCTTTAGAAGCTGGAAAAGTCAAGAAAATATTTTTCCTTAGAGTCTTCAGAAAGAACACAGCACTGCTGACACCTAGATTTTTGTCCAGTTAGGCTAATTTTGGATTTCTGACCTCCAGAATTGTGATGCAATAAATTTATGTTGACTGATGTCATTAAGTTTGTTGTGATTGGTTTTAGAAGCCTTTGGAAACTAATATGTTTTGGTATATGGAAGTGGGGTACTTCTGTAAGAAATAACTAAAAGTTTGGAAGTGGTTTTGGAGTTGGTCAATAGGCAGATAGAATTTTGAAAACATCCTAAAAAAGTTCTTGATTTCCCTGAATAGGATTTTAATTGAAATATG